CAGCCCATATTGGAGTACCTTGGTTCCATTCCCAGCTCCTGCTTCTAACTCCAGCTTCCTGCTAATGCAGACCTTGGAGGCAGCAGTGATGGCTCAAGGAACTGGGTTCCTGACAACCAGATGGGAAACCTCAATTGATTTCTGGGCTTATGCCTTCAGTCTGGCCCAGCCCCTTATGGTAGCATTTGGGAAGGGAACCAGCAGACGGGAGATATCTGTGCCCATGCATGTGTGTGTGTGTGCCTTTCAAATTAATAAATAATTTAGAAGAAAATAACATTTTAAACTTCTTTATATTATACAATAGTCCCCCTTATCCACAAGGGATACATTTGAAAACCTCCAATGGATACCTAAAACCTGGGTAAGCACCAACTCCCATAGATGCTGTTTTTTTTTCCCCATAAGTACATACCTATCATGAAGTGTAATTATTAAGTTGTACATAGAAAGACATTAACAGTGTAACTAATAATAAGATAGAACAATTCTAGCAGTGTGCTGTCAGAAAGATTATCTAGAACTTACGAATTATTGATTTCTAGACTTTCCCTTTGAGTATTTTCAGACTGCAGTTGAGCACAGGTAACTGAAATGGCAGAAAGCTTAACTGTGGATAAGGGTTGATTACCGTAAATCTCATTTTAAAAGTATTTAATCAAGGAAGTCTGCAGCTACTTTTGTTTCCTCTACTGTTTTCCCCACGTCGGGCTTCTTTGTCAGGGAGAATGGGATTGCCTTACCACGTAAAGCATGGGTAATGGCCGTAAAAGAATTCCCCAGCAACTGAATAATGGACTGCCAGAAATATTCTTGGTGCCAAAGGATCTGGATATGTCTGTTCCATTTACTGTGTTTCTTGTTTCTTCATGACTAAGTGCTCACAAAAGACATAAAAATCCAAACTCCTGGGGCATGTGGGATTTGAGGGCAGAAACCATATTTTAATATATCCAGTTCCATTCCTAGAATATTAAGATGGTTACGAAAGTGTCCACAGCAAAACTGATGAGTCTGAGATATGTAAGATCCTCCATTTTTTAATGAGGTTCATTTCCAAGGACAGAAAGAAGTCGTTCTATTATCTCCATTGTGCTTAGCTGAGTGACTTAGCAATGTGTATCCTAAGGAGCACTGGAAGTCTTGCCCCAGAAATTTCTAACTCACCGTGCCTGTATGAATAACTTCCTATTTTTTGGACTCAGGAACATGGATTCTATTGCTTTATTAAGGCTTCTCATTCAAAATGCCCAATAGAACAGTGTGGCAGAACCTTTTACTTCTTAAAAATTTGCTTTGATAATCCTCATGTAGGATCTCTGTCCTTAGTGTGCTGTGCATTGTGATTTAATGCTATAACTAGTACTCAAACAGTATTTTTCACTTTATGTTTCTGTGTGGGAGCAAACTGTTGAAATCTTTACTTAATGTATGCTAAACTGATCTTCTGTATATAAAGAGAATCGAAAATGAATCTTGATGTGAATGGAAGGGGAGAGGGAGTGGGAAAGGGGAGGGTTGCAGCTGGGAGGGACGTTATGAGGGGGAAGCCATTGTAATCCATAAGCTGTACTTTGGAAATTTATATTCATTAAATAAAAGTTAAAAAAAGAAAATTTGCTTTGATAATAAATTGAATGTACAAAGAAAAGAATTTTCTTAAAAATGGAAAGCATGCAATTTAGGAAAATAGTGAGAAGTTCTGGCAAAACAGTGGAAAGGTAGAAAAATGTACAAAGTTTTTGTGTCACACTGCACACATGAAAAGTCAAGAGTAGCATTGAAACCCCTCACCAACTTCCTTCCTTATCCTTCCAAGCACCTGTCCACCGGGTCAGTGAACACTTGAGACTATTTATCTCCCCCGCTTCATAGTGTGAGGATGGAAAGCTCCGTGAATCCACCCTGGTTTCACCTTGACAGGGTATTTTCTCTTTGCTAATGTCTTAACACTGCAGGGATTTGGGGAGCAGGGTCATTATGCACAAAGATGAAAATTCTTAATTATTCTGCATGTGACTCACAGGGTAGGGGACATTCTAGGGGAGCCATTCCCCCAGGTCAGGGACCAAGACAGATTCCTGGGCTGAGTACTTACAGTCTGTGTCCTGTACTCCTACCCAGCAAAGTAAATTGGAATTCAACTAGATGAGCTTGCATCTGCTGTGTGTGTATGTGTGTGTGTGTGTGTGATTCAAGTCTAAAAGTTAGTCCTCTATTACTTATGAAGATGATTCCAAATACTCCATCATGATCCGCTACTACAAATTCAAACACTGTCGTGAAACACCATCTCCATGCTCTCTTGGGACTGCTCCAGAGAGACTTCCCTAGGTCACCCACTGCTGTGTGCACACCGCCTCCCCAGGAAGACCTACAAGTGTCTAGAAGACACTGAGTGGCATCATGGCTTGAACAAGATTGTGTTCCCAAACCCATGTAGACATTTAATCCCCAAAGTCTTAAGTCAATGGTATTGGGAGGGTGGGGAGTGGATTAAATTATGTTGATAAGAGACCTTTAAGGGGGTCCTCAGATCACAGGATGCCTGCCCTTGGAATATAGTTCTCATTGGAGGGTTAGTTTTAGAAGCCAAGTTGGACTCTGTCTCCTGGCTGTCCATGTTCTCCTCCCTCTGCACGTGCTGTGCCCTTGCCTTCCTCTGGCCTCACTAGAAGCCACACGAGTGGGGCCACCAAATCTTGGTCTGTGAACCTTCAAAAACCATGAGCCAAAAGTAAACCTCCTTGCTTCCCAAGTTGCTTATGTGATAGTGATGAGAAGCTGGCTAATAAAATGTGGTCACCGGAAGATAGTGTATTTGAGGCAGAGTTATCAAGAAAGAAACATAAGTAGCATCTAAGTTTATTTTGACTGTAAGAAAAGAAGCAGGGGAGTGTTTTGCAGAATGAACCTTTGCAGAAAGGCAGTGATTATTAGTAACTATCTGTTGTGATTTTCAAGTAGCTAGGACCCAAGTCAACTTATGACTTTAGGCTAAGGTAGACATTACTTGCAATAGTTACTGAAGTCAAAATAACTCTGCCACTGACTAAGCAGCAGGAAAATGGTAAAAACAAACAAACAAAAAGAAGAAAAAACCATGGGTCAGCTCAAATACACAAACACTTTAATTTTTGTAAATAGGGAATTTTTGTTAAAACACTTTTTGATAAAATTATAACTTTTCCTTATAGCAAGTGCTCTGAAAATTATCATTCACTTATGATGACAGGAAGAACTATTACAGAAGAAAATTGTAACACAATTTTTTTATAGCTGGCCACTCTTTTTACCTGGGAATTAGGTATGTAGTTGGACATCCTTCATCTGAAAATCCTGAATACTCACTTGGTAAGGTCTATATAAATATTCCAACATTGGAAAACCAAAATTTGGAAATATTTCTGTCCCTAAGATGGAGACAGAGCATACTCAACCTGTGCTGCTTTTATTGTCATTAGCAACTGCCTTTTTGCATTCTTCTAATTTAAAATGTTTAGTTTTTGAAAAGATGGGCAGGGGTTTGGCATAGTGGTTAAGAAGCCCCTTGGGTAGCTGAATCCCATGTTGGAGTCCCTGGATTCCAGCCAGGCCTGGCCCCACTTCTGATCCAGCTTCCTGCTAATATAGGAGGCAACAGATGATAGCTCAAGTACCTGGGACCCTGTCAGCCACATGAGAGAACCAGATGGAGTGCCTGGCTCCTGGCTTTGGACTGGTCCAGCCCTAGCTGTTAACAACATTTGGAGAGTGAACCAGCAGGTGGAAGATTTCTCACTGTTTGTCTCTTTTTGTCTCTGTCCCTCTCTGCGTTCATGTTGTCTGCCTTTCAAAGAAATTTTTAAAAGGGGATGTGGGTGAGTGAATGGTTAATGGTGTATTTCACTATTGTTTAAGGAAGGCACTGAATGTGATGGGTTAGAGCTTCAGAATGTTCTCTGGATATCAATGTGCATCACAACACCAAACTTCGATTCTCAGAGTGTAAAACGTACAATACACAGCTGCTTTATTTTTACCAGATGAGCTTTTATTTAGACTATTCTATACTGGGTCCTTGGATTTTTAGAGACTGATTTTGCTTGGCCTCCTGCTTTTCCAGATGAGAGTAGGGGTTTAGAGCTTTCTCACATTGCAGAGTGTATGCACTCAAATCCTCATGTAGATTTAACACTTGTAAATACAGAATTTTATTAAACTCTCTGTTCTCTTGAAAGGGTACCTTTTGAGAAATGTTTACTCAGGTCTTTGGCCCATACTAAAAACAATATAGTTATCTGTTTTTGCTGTTGGGTTAAGTTCCTTCTATATTCTAAATATTAAATCCTTATCAAATGCTTACTTTGGAAATATTACCTTTCATTCTGTTGTTGTCTCTTCACTCTGTTAACAGTTTCCATTATTGAAAAGAAGCTTATTAGTTTGATGTAATCTCATTTGTGTTTTGTTGTTTTTTTCCACTTGTGGAATGTAGAAGAGCTGATCTTGCGAAAGTAAAATGTAGAATGGTGGCTCCCAGAAACCGGGGAGAGTGTAGGGGTGAGGATGATTGACAGGTACAAAATCACAGTTAGATGCAAGAAAAAAGTTCTGGTGTTCTACTGAACTTTTGGGCTACTATTGTTAACAATACCATATTATATGTTTCAAAAGAGCCAGAATAGAAGAATTTGAATGTTCTCACCACAAGGAAATGATAAATATTTGAGGTGATGGTTTGCTAATTATCCTAATTTGATGATTACATAATGTACACATGTATCTAAACACCACACCGTACCCCATAAATATATACTATTATGTGTCAATGAAAAACAAAATAAGTTAAAAAATAAAAATGCCATGCAGGGACAGGAGGTGGGAAGTGATATGTGTGAGGGAAAGCAAACGCATCCCTTTTATGTGTAAAACCAAGTACTGGCCATGCGTGTGCAAAAACAGAACAAAGCTCTCTGTGCACTTGATGTATACTCATTATGATTCTCCTTCTATTACAGGCTCAACGTGGGAAAAGACATTTCGACAGATTGGCTTTGAAAGGTGAGCAATGATTATCAATTTCCACATTGCAATTTCTACAGTGCAATGTCAACCTATGTAAATTGTCAATTGTCCATCATTAGTGTGGCCTCCATTGCTTCCGAACCTATGTGACCTTGAGCAAGTCATCATTTTACCATCTGAGTCTTGATATCTTCATAAAGTAGAGCCTCACTTTATAAAATCTTTGCCTACACACAGACTGAAAATAAAGATGAAAGGAGCAATGGTGAAAATGCTTATTGAACTGTGACACAACATGAAAGATACGTAAGAATTACAGGAAGTGTAGGTGACCCTCCCTTTACTTTGTCACCTGATGTGTTATATTCAGTGTGGAAAAAATGTCTATGTTGATGTCTTCCCAAATATCACAAAAGTTAGGCCTTCATTCTAAATGAGAAGCTGGGATCATGTCACAATTAGCTGAAACTCTTTCTATTTCAACAAGTCCTCTACACCTCAACAGAAATATAAAATAGTGTACATGCCACAATATCACAAATGTGGAGGTAGGGATAATATTGTCTCCCAGTTCTCCCCGGGTGATATGTAGTGTATTCCATCAAACTTTCAATGAAGATACAACTATTAAAAGAGAGATCTAATTGAATTTTACTGTAAAAGTAAACTTTGATTAGCTTTTACCATCAAATTGGAAGTGTACTTTTTTCTGCATATTGATTGAACTGATACATTGCTTAGACCATATAAAATAAGTAATAAAATGCTTAAAAATGCATCATTTCTCTAGTAGCACTAGAGAATAGTCCATCACCCACTGTGATGACTCTTGCCTTGCCATTGTTCATTGGTTCAAAGGTGTATGGATTTCTCTGCATACCCTCCCACTCAGGTCAGCACCACTCTGTATTGAGTTCCTCAGGTTGCAGGGAGCTGGCCTGGGGTGACCAAATGCACAGGCATCATAAAGCAAGGCAAGGGCCATCCTCTGTGGCTTCATTCCAGGGTGAAATCTTTTCCCAAACCATCTGTCACTTGATTCTCCTTTCATATGATGAACAGTTTCAAAAATAAATAAAAGTAGAGTGAGTAGTAAAAGGAGTATTACAAATCCAAGCCCAGTTTCAGTAAGATTGGGCCATATTTGCTGTCCATTTTTCTTTTTTTTTTTTTGCTGAAATATGCTAATAAACCTCTCAGACACTATGTTATTTCATTGCTACATTGAACCACATGCATAAAAACCATAAGGCTATTATCATTCCTAATGTGAATAGCAGTAAACCCTTAGCATCATTTAATACCCAGTCAACATTTAGATTCAAATGATTACACTGTCAGTCTTTGGGAACAAGTTCATGTTGACTTCTTGTCCTTTGGGCACAGATGCTACAGTCATTAGAGTCTATATTTCTAGCACAACTAGCCAAATGTCCCAGGTTCATCCTGTGCCCACCCAGGAGTCAGGTGCTCCTCCAGGGAAAGGTGTTTTGAAACCAAAACCTGACAACCAGACATGTTTATTGCTTCTGAGATCTTCCCTTCCCTTCCCTTCCCTTCCCTTCCCTTCCCTTCCCTTCCCTTCCCTTCCCTTCCCTTCCCTTCCCTTCCCTTCCCTTCCCTTCCCTTCTCCCTTTCCTTTCCTTTCCTTTCCTTTCCTTTCCTTTCCTTTCCTTTCCTTTCCTTTCCTTTCCTTTCCTTTCCTTTCCTTTCCTTTCCTTTCCTTTCCTTTCCTTTCCTTTCCTTTCCTTTCCTTTCCTTTCCTTTCCTTTTTGACAGGCAGAGTTAGACAGTGAGAGAGAAAGAGACAGAGAAGGGTCTTCCTTCCATTGGTTCACCCCCCCCCCAAATGGCCGCTACGGCTGGCGCGCTGTGCCGATCGAAGGCAGGAGCCAGGTGCTTCCTCCTGGTCTCCCATGTGGGTGCAGGGCCCAAGCACTTGGGCCATCCTCCACTGCCTTCCCAGGCCACAGCAGAGAGCTGGACTGGAAGAGGAGCAACCGGGACAGAATCCGGCACCCCAACTGGGACCAAAACCAGGGGTGCCGGCGCCACAGGCAGAGGATTAGCCAGGTGAGCCACAGCGCCAGCCATTTCTGAGATTTTTCAATAGACAAAATGAAGAAATATGTGTTTTAAGAAACACATATTTCTGTGCGCTGTGGCACAGTGGGTTGAAGTCCTGGCCTGAAGCGCCGGCATCCCATATGGGTGCTGGTTCTAGTCCTGGCTGCTCTTCTTCTGATCCAGCTCTCTGCTATGGCCTAGGAAAGCAGTGGAAGATGGCCCAGGTCCCTGGGCCTCCTCACCCACATGGGAGACCCTTGGGAACCTCCTGGATCCTGGCTTTGGATTGGCACAGCTCTGGCCATTGCAGCCATCTGGGGAGTGAACCAGCGGATGGAAGATCTCTCTCTCTGTCTCTACCTCTCTCTGTAACTCTGTCTTTCAAATAAATAAAATAAATCTTATAAAAAAGTAAATCCTGAATTCATATGATAGCTCCATTTTAAAATGTGGCTTTATGGAGCTTTTAACTTCTCTGATGTTATATTTGTATCTCTATATCCACTGATATCCTTGGCTCTTAACTTTTCTGTTTCTTTGGGGCTTTTTTAAGGATTTATTTATTTATTTGAAAGAGAGCATCAGAGAGCTGGGGGAAGAAGGGGACAGAGAGAGAAAGTGAGGCTTTCCATTCCCTGGTTCACTCCCAGATGGACACAACAGTACAGACTTGGCTAGGCTGAAGCCAGGGTAGCAGGGGTCCAAGCAGTTGGGCCATCATCTGCTGACTTCCTAGATGCATTAACAGGGAGCTAGATCAGAAGCAAAGTAGCAAACACACAAGCGGGCACACTGATCTGAGATGCAGGAGTGAGTGGTGGCTTAACCCATTGGAATCCAAAGCTGACTCGTCTTTTCTGTTTCATTGCATAGTATAACATAGACACCATTATCAAAATAATACTAATATTACTTCTAATAATAAGGTAATTGGGTCTTGTACCCCAAAACTCTGCATAGCTTATTTAGTACAATGGTAAGTTAAGAAGATGTTAAAGGAAGATTTTATTAAGAATCTTAATGTTTATTCATTACATTGTTACAATTTAATATTTATTTGTGGTATTTGTGATTTGATTAATCTGTATAAAAATTATAAGTAGAAAGGTTTCTATTTCATCTGAATTATTTTAAAGTTGTAAACATACTTTTTAAAAAATGGATTATTTGAATGTTCATGGCACATGACTTGCAAAAAAACTATAAAAATTTAGAATCACTGAATTGTGTTCCTGTATTACCAAAAAAAAATTGTAAAAACTTTCACTCATCCCAACTTAATATTTCATAAATGATATACAATCAAACAAGTGAACACGAAGCATGAAATATTTTCTTCTTTCTGTGCAGTTATAGACCAAATTTTAGATCTAATCAGACTGTTTCTGGATCTTCCTAACATCAGTAGTTTTCCTTTTGATTTAGTTTGAGTTTTTCGAACACGTAACATTTAAATGACTTCAAGTTCAAGTCAATCAACATAATTTTCTTTCTCAGGGACACGTCAGTTTCATCCTTCTCCCTTGTACCCTGCTCCTCCTGCCCTCCACAGCAGTCCTGGTTCTTAGCTTTCTGTTTAAACTTCCAATGTTTACTCATGCACATGCAAGCCAGTGCTGAGGTCTGTGTGTAGCCTAGCTCTGCTCTCATATGAAGAGTGCATATTGCTTGCATTCTTGTGCACTTAGAGTTTTCCACTGAGAGAGTATGTCCTGGGGATCATTCCTCAACAAAGTATGTATACTTGACTCACTGTATGAACATCCTCTGTGTGGATGAGATGGGCCAAGCCAGTCTCATGGAAATCATGATCCTTTGCAGTGTCAAGGGTTCCTAATAATTTCAGGGGTGCAAGTGATCAAGGGGCACTGGGGAGGAAGGGAAGGAGCCACAGAGTCCTAGGTGGATCCCAGGACCTTCTTTTTCACACCAGATCCAGGCTCAGTGGCCCAGAGGGCTTTTCTTGAGGGCTATGGATCCCTCATACCGCATAGAGCATCTGCCTTTGCAACATCCCAGTTTTACATGCAAGAAATTTGAATAGCTTCTGTGGCATTCTCCAGCGGCCATGCCTTATAAATCTATATATTGTAGATTTGTTTATCATTTCAACACCAAACCAGAACTGTCCTGCTTGGAGCTTTCCATGGATGAGGACTCTTTGCTTAGCAGAAGAATCATTCTACTTAAAATGATTTTCTAAAAGGTTTCTTAATTTATTTGAAAGGCAGAGTGACAAGAGGGAGAGGGAGAGACAGAGAAAGAGAGAGAGAGTGATCTTCTGTTTTCTCTTTCACTCTCCAAATGCCAACAGCAGCCAGGGCTGGGCCAGGCTGAAGCCAGGAGCCTACAACTCCATCTAGGTCTCCCACATGGGCCATCTTCCACTTCTTTCTCAGGAGCACTAGCAGGAAGCTGGATTGAAATTGGAGCAGGCAGGATTCAAAGTGGCACTCCAACATGCCATATTACGTGTGCCACAATACTGGCCCCTCTAGTTAAAATGTTTGCGAGAAATTAAACAGAGTCACTCACCCTACTCCCCCCAACCCCCTGTCTTCTTGGTAACCAGAGGTAAAACAGATCACAGGCCACTTGCTTAAACTCCTTAACAGTTGGATTACAATATGGTTCATTGAACTTGTCCCCTGAAGATGGATATTTAGGCAATTTCCAGCCATTTGCTGTTACAAGAAAAAGTTGTAATGATATTACACATACCTGTATTTTTGCCAAATATCCTGGGGATAGAGTCCCAAGTACAATCAAAGAGTAAGTTCATATGGAACTTTGCTAAATATCACCAGATTTCCCTCATAAAAATAGGGCTTTAATAGTTTTCACTCCACCAGCAGTGCATGAGAGTAGCCATTCCCCGAAAGCCCCAGAGGAGGCTGTCAAACTTGGAAACTCTGCCAATCTGATAGGTGAGGAATGGTATCTCTGTGTTCTTTTAATTTGCATTCATC